ATAAGGGATTTGGTTTAGATTGTATCTTACAGGCCCAGTGGTTTTTCCTACTTTCTTCAGTTTAAGCTTGAATTTTGCTATAAGAAGCTGATGATCTGAGCCACAGTCAGCTCCTGGTCTTGTTTTTGCTGACTGTATAGAGCTTCTCCATCTTTGGCTGCAGAGAATATAATCAATCTGATTTCGATGCTGCCCATCTGGTGATGTCCATGTGTAGAGTCGTCTCTTGTGTTGTTGGAAAAGCGTGTTTGTGATGACCAGCTTGTTCTCTTGACAGAACTCTATTAGCCTTTGCTCTGCTTCGTTTTGATCTCCAGGGCCAAACTTGCCAGTTGTTCCTTTTATCTCTTGATTCCCTACTTTAGCATTCCAATCCCCTCTAATGAGAAGATCATCCTTCTTTGGTGTCACTTCTATAAGGTCTTGTAAGTCTTCATAGAATTGGTCAATTTCAGTTTCACTTGTGGATTAGTATCTGGTTAAGAAACAGGAAGCAGGAATAAATAGACAATTCTCCCAATGCACGGATGTTAGGGGTGAGCAATTAAGGTAGTTAAGTTAGCTGAAGGTGCCAAATCATTCAGGGTGGTTAAAATTGAAGAAGATTGTGAAGGATATCTCCAAACAAGGTAAAAGGGCAGTTAGATGGCAAATGAAATTCTATGTAAACAAGTGCAAAGCGATTAACCTTGGGGCATCCCCCCCCCATTTCACATATACACTTGTGGCATCTGAACTAGTGGAGGCTGATCAAGAACAAGACCTCTGCTAGAGGATAGCTCCATGTGATGGATAGCTTGCATTGACACAGTGTGCAACAGCTGTAAAAACAGAGAATTCCATGCTAGGGATCACTAGGAAAGGCATCGAAAATACACTTCCACTATCAGAATGCTGTCACATGTCTATTTTGTGAATAAACTTTGAACATTGTGTATATTTCTGGGCACCTTGCCTCAAAAGGGATATCACAGAGTTGGAAAAGGTTCAGATAAATGATCAAGGGGATCGAGCAACTTTTCATTTAGAGAAAAAGCAAGTAATTTATACTGTTATGAGAGAGGGAGAAAAACTTTTACCTATCCACTTCCTTAATGCCATGCATAATTTTATGACATTATCTCATGTTACCTCTTCCTCACCTTTCCTCTAAACTAAAAAAAAATCCCACTTGCTGAAACCTTTCCTCTTCAAGGAAGTGAAGATGTACTGCTGGTATGGTGGCATTCCTGTCAGTGCTTTGCTTTTTGGAGTTGGAACTGCATTTTTCAAGGAGTGAATCTGACTAGACAATAAACAAGTTGCATTAAGATTCTGTAAAACATAAACTGCTTTGCTTTTGCCTTCATACATATTCATTGGTGCTATTATTTTTCTTATTTCTTTTAGAATTAAGTACAGAATAAAAAGGCATAGAATGTTCTTTTCTGGGAGAGTTTTATCACCCCCAACTTTCATACAGATGCATTTATATTAGGGAAAATTGCCTTGCAAAAAGCATTTATTAGGCAAAATTGCATACAAAAACATGTGCATTAGGAGAAATGAAATGCTAAAATGCAGATGAACATTTATGAGGACTTCTTTAAAAAAAATCACAGATGGAAATGTGAAGAGCTGAGGACTGGAAATATGATAAACTGACACTAAATTGACATAGTTGCTCATCCTTTTTTTCCAGGGGACACTACCCCCTCCTGATTGGTTGACCCTCCTCCCAGCCCTGATTGGCTTCTGGGTCTCTGGGAGGATGACCCAAGGTCCATTAGTCACAAAAGGCTGTGTACCGAAATACATTTCTGGAGTGGCGCACCTGCTGTGGATCTGCATTCACTCTTTCCAAGCTGAATCAAGTTAAGACAAAAACAAATATCCCCATTTCCAGCAACTGCCAGCTGAATGGCTGGCTGGTGTGGCAATCATGAAGTCTGCCTACTTTTCCACTCCCATTCTCCAGCTATCTGTGCAGAATGCTGACTGGGCCTTGTGGCAATCATGAATTCACTTCTATCTCATCTCCTCTTCAAGCAGTCTTCCAAGTTTAAAGAAAAACTAACTGGCCTTTAAATAAAAAAAGTTCCTGTACAAACATCTAACTGAATCAACAAATGTTTTTTAAAAGATGATAACCTGCCTAAAACATGACAGAAGACGTGAATATCTGCACAGGAACTGGAAGAAGATACAAGCATCAGTTGAGGAGCAAAGACAATGTGGAAGTCCTGTCCAGGGCCTAGACGAGGGTCACCATCAACTGCTCGAAGTCCAATTTGAGCCCAGTCACTCTGCCAGCTCCAGACTGACACAACAACCTGCCCACTCCCCCAACTCCTACCCAGGCTGGCATGCTTGGTAGGACTGCAGCTGTGGTATTGGTGCCTTTGCTCCATTAAGTCCTAAAAGGCCACAGCCAGAATTAGGACTGCATGGAATGGGGCAATTTGGGCTACAGTCAAGCAAGATTCTAGTTATGTGAACCCTGTAATTAAATATCTGATTTTTATCACAGATTCAGATATGGCCTTAGGCCAACTTGTAATCTCTCTCAATATTTCTTGTTGAGCCTGCTTTTCACAATCTGCTCTACGTTTTCCCAAAAATGATCAATATAAGATAAACTTCTCCTGACATTGCTTATGCAGTCTCAGCAACCCCTCCCCCCGGGAGCCAGACCACAACAAACATTTTGAGATTAAAATTGGGCACAACTTTATTTATTTATTTCAGCCGTAGGTAAACCTTGGCATAGGCATTGGTAGTGTATCCCTCTCAGCCCCCTGGTGGCTTCTCTTCAGGGGTCTGAGGCATGACAGGGTCAGCTGGGTGTGTGTGTGTGTGCAGAATGGGGCCATTGCAAAACATGGCGGTTTACACAGATGTTTCCTCCACCCAAGGCACTGAGGCAGCACTAGGGACCAAGTTGTTGGGCCTGACCTGCATCTACAGCCAGAATAGCGCAAGGTGCCAAGTCAAATGGGAGCCAGCAGTAGTACAAAGTCAATGGTGGATTTACTCACAAGAAAAAATGAACAGAAGGAATAATACTATTGACAGTATCAAGGCATCATATACTATTCCATCAACAGTTTTAATTGTTAATGTGCAAACTCTGGAATATTCATACAGAAGAATATGACAACCTCCCCTTCTGCATTGTGTTTTGCTATAGGCATTGAAGCACCTGTAATTATGATTAAGTCTAATGAACAAATGTAGAAGTAGGTCCTTCTATTTCCAAAACAAGTCTTTATGCTGATGGAATAATAACATTATCAAGTCCTCTAATGCCAGCTCAATATATTCTCCAAAAGCATCAGAGATTTTGAAGAAGGATGAAGGTACAGTATGAATATGATAAATATGTATCCTAATATTTTGTAACTGATTTGTCTGAAAAAATATTACATGCACAGGTGAATGTAATATGAAAAAAGTATTTTAGATCTGTATCGGCACAGTATACAGGATGGCCCAAAAGTAGGTATACAGCTGAATCAATGAAATTAATCACAACTGATTATATAGATACACATAGTTGGCACACAACAAAGTGGCAGTAAATTTCAGGCTGGCAGTTGGAAAGAATAGTGGAGTAGATAAAAGGGTTATTTTTCTTTACTGATATTGTGAATGATGACAGTGAACTTGAGTCAAGAACAAAGGAAGTGGATTCTAAAGCAGTATATCTACTTTTGGGCCAACCCGTAAGCAGTGCTTTTTCTTCTTCTTCTAAAAAAAATGTTTAGGGGTACTCTCATTTTGACTCAAGAAAATATAGTTAAACGCAACTGATAGACTATATGGAACTGGCAGAAATGACTGGCAGAATCTGCGACCTGGGAGAAGAAGCAGCGGAAGAGGATTGGAAGAAATTTAAGGACTATTTACAAAAACATTGTAAACTGTATGAGTGTTAAGAAGGATGCAGGACTGAGAACAGGGCATCAGCAAACTAGCTGAAGGGAATATGAGAATAAGTGAAATTTGAGAAGAAGATAAATTTCAGATTAATATCATGTCTAAATTAAGTATTTAAGCTAATGATAAAAATATATAAAGTTAGAGACATAATATTGGAAAATCACAAAATAAGATTTGAAACAAGGTGATAATTTGCTGTTTAAAACTCTAGAAATTGGGAACGCAGGAACGAGAGATGTGAGGAAGTCCAAAAGCAAAGAAAATATGGTTATGAACTACTTGATTTTGTTGTTGTATGTTTTTTGTATTATGTGTTATTCTTTTTATTCTTTTGTGTTTTTCTTTGTTTATTATTGTATTATGGTGATGGTTTTATATGTGTTTGGTGACTATAAATGTCTAAAACCTTTAATAAATATTTTATACAAAAAAAGAAAAAAAAGAAAATATAGTTAAAATCGGGGGAAATAAATACAGTAAATGGACCAAAGTACAAAGATTCACAAAATGTTTAGGGGTATGCGTCCTCTCACGTCCCCCCCGAAAAAAGTACTGCCTGTAAGTTTGTTAAGTGTTGGATACAGAACCGATCAACCAAATAAAAAACAGCAGATTTGATCTAATTTTGGATAGTTCACTATCTGACGTCAAAAAAAGATCTATTTCAGCTCTATTATATAGCTCTCATAGACAAGACGGTTGATTAAAAACAAGGATGGTGTAAATAGGCAGAATCTCAACATGTAAGTCAGGACATTTTATTCATTACAAAACATGAATATTATGATTTTCCTTTCAATTCTGAAGATATAGCAACATGTGTGTTTGCTTCATATACTCAGCTGTGGGAGAAGTAAATTGGAAGTTTCTGCTCAGAGAGTGGGGCATTGTTCATCTTATAGCTTCTTTACCAGGAAGAACTCTGAGCTTCTTACCAGAAGCAGGACACAGAAAAAACAGCTCATTTTTTCTTAACAGATTCATTCTATTCTTCATTGGCCCTCCCACAATTTTTCCAGGAGTAACTTAAAAACAGAGGGAGGGAGGGAGCACAGGGATGTGTTAAGGAAGTAATTCTGACTTTAGCTATCATTTCTCTCTGTCTCTCTACGGGAACACAATACACATAGGAGGAACTTTTCAGACAAAAGGAAGTAAAAGCAGAAGGAGACTGAATCAGTGCAGGGAGAAATCATGGAGCCATTCCATTGGGTGTTCTCCATGCTCATGGCCATATGGAATAATCTCACTTTGCTGGTTATACTATTCTCTTTGTTAACTCTGTCCTTTGATTTTATGAAGCGTAGGAAGCCTTGGCGCAACTACCCACCAGGGCCAATTTCCTTGCCCTTTATTGGCACCCTTTTGCAGATTGATATGAGGAAGCCTCATCTTTCTTTCACTCAGGTAAGTGCCAAGGGAAAAAAGAGACCCGGACCAAGTGCCAAGGGAAAAAAGAGACCCGGACCAATGAAGGAGAGTCCACCAGCTTCTGAGGGAGTCCGTTCTATAGCTGAACACCACCTCCCTCAGACTTCTTCCTCTGGTGCCCAGCAAAGAGTGCTGTGTTTGGGGAACAGAAGTGAAGAAGGTCAACCTGCCATTGGCTTGATTCCATATTGAGCTGCGGCAGTGAGTGTTTGCGGGGGGGGGGGACTTGTCTGTTTCCCCACAATTCCTTTGTGGCTTGTAATATTGGCTCATGCATGCTGATGGGGTCTTACGCTTGTGTGTTATTCTGTTGCACCCTTGGAATGATATTTTGGTTTCACCTGCCTTGCCCCACGCCAGTCATTGCAGTTAGCCTCCTGGACATTTTAGCTCTGAATGGGCACAATAGAAGTATATTAAGTGTTGGTTACAGAACTGATTGACCAAATAAGAAACAGCAAATTTGAACTAGTTTGGGATAGTTCACAATTTTCAGTGTGAGTTCACAGCAGTCAACTGTCACATTGTTTTCTATTAGATGATATTGCTTTTAAACATATGGGTGGGTACATTGAGTTTAGCGGGGACCTGCAACAAGATGTTTTGAGGGTTGGCTCCAGCCTTTAACAGGAGGGCACTCATTCAGGGTTCCAGACAGCCTGTAACAGGACCCTATCAGTGGTTTGGGTGGGTGGGTGTGTAGAAGGACAGGCAGCAAAGATGGGGAAGAAGAATGACTACTTTCCTCTTCCTTAGTATAATAAAGAGTTTGAACTCAGGGCTGACTGCTGGCCCTGAATCTGAACGTTATTGCTATATTAGGAAGTTTTTAATGTTTGATGTTTTGTTACATTTTTATATGTGCTGGAAGCTGCCCAGAGTGGTTGGGGAAACACAGCCAAATGGGTGGGTTTTTATTTTTATTTTTATTTTATTATTATTATTATTATTATTATTATTATTATTATTATTATTATTATTGTTATTATTATTATTATTATTATGCAGGGAGAGGAAGAGATTTTTTGCTACTGAGAATGAAAATATTTATTCTTTTTCATTTCCTCCATCCTGAAACCTCCCCATATAGTGGACGGAGGAGATATTTTTAACCTTTTAGTGCACATTCTTCCAACTCTAATCAAAACTCTAGAATACAATAACCCATGAAAAGCAGTGGTGGTGGGGGGGAGGCTTAATCCTTCCCCTCCCCCCAAAAATGATCACATCAACATTCTTCTAAGAAAATGAGGACAGGTCCCTGTGCTGTAGGGCTGTTTCTAATAAAGCTTTTATTTTCATTATTTTCATCCCTCAACAATTGTTGTGTGAGGGAGCAACCTTCTTTAATTGTGAATGGTGGATATAAATCTACAGAAGACTATATATAAAGAGTTAGGTGCATAGTAGCAGGAAGGTTTAATAACTGGAGTTGGTGCATGTTTTATAAGAATGATTAACAACAATCGACCCACCAATTCAAGCATTCATTAGTTTCCTTATTAGAATTAAAGATGCTTGAGTGAAGAGTAGAATTCTTTCTTCTGTGTACAATAAAAAGAGGATTGTTTTGATTTAGAGAAATGTCATATAAAACCACTATTAGCAGTTCAACCCTGTTGAGTTTGATTGGATGTAAGTTTATGGCTGGAGTCTCATTTTCGTAATTTTAAAACTGATTTAGAGAAACACTAGACACACTAAGTAGGGGAGTGCATGCGCCCAACATTACAAGGACAGTCCAGTATTGGAAGGGTTAGCCATCTTCCACCTGCTGAAAGAAAAAGGAACCCATAAGATGAAAGAGGGGTACCTTGAAGTTGGCCACCAGCATTTAGCACCTGGGCAACTGACGTAGCAGACACACAGGTAATCTGGTCACAGCCTGCATCACTAGGTTGTCATTTGTTGTATTTCTGGTCAAATAATTATTATCCAAAACTTGCATACAGGGCCATATTTAGCAGATGTGGTGCCAGGGTGCAAATATCCGCCCAGCGCCCCCAAATTACCATGGATAATGTTTTGGGGGGAGGAAGCTATGCAGTGCCAGCCATCGGGGGGGGGGGGCGCAACTCTCCCCCATGCCGCTGTGGGAGAGCGATCACCACAGAGGCTTGGGAGGGAAGCTGCACGCCCACCAGCCACATAGTTGGCGGGGCGCAGCTTCCAGCCTAAGCCCATGCGGGGATTGCTCTCCTCTCACGGAGACAAGCTGCATGCCCGCCAGCCATATGGTTTCTGGGGCGCAGCTGGCGGGCATGCAGGGAAAGGGGAGGCCACCGGCAAAGCCGCACAGCTCCCCCACTCGCTGGGGCGCCCCTGAGAGGCCAGCGCCCTGGCACAATGCACCACTAAGCCCTATGGGAAAGACGGCTCAGCTTGCATACCTAGATATATATTAGCATATGGACATTTTATGCTGTCATATATTTTCAGCTGTCTAAGAAGTACGGGAACATTTACAGCCTGCAAGCCTTCTATACCAATGTCGTGGTGGTGAATGGATTCAAGCTAATGAAAGAAGCTTTAGTCCACAAGTCAGAGGATTTTGCTGATCGTCCTGATGTGCCTGTCCAGAGTTATTTGTCAGGATACAAGCAAGGTATGTCTGGCTTTGTCAGTCCAAGGTGCTGAAGGAGATGGGAAGAAGGCAAACCAGTGAGCATCCCTCCCGTCTGTTGGCAATAAAGCAATTCAAACAGGAAGAGTGAGAATTAAAGAACCTCACTGTTTTTCTTGAGGTTCAAAAGCTCATTGAATGTGAATGATAAGAGCTGTTCGGCCCTGAAACAAACTCTCACAGAAGGTGGCGGACTCTCCCTCATTGAGGATGGATGTCAAAGATTCTTTAGCTGTGAATGCCAGGGGGGTGGACTGTTTCTCTGATTGAGGAGCTTCATGACTGATTTGGATTTGAGTCTCTCCCAGATTCTAGTCCAACACCAAACTGACTCTCATTTAAGAGAGAATGAAAATAATTTTAGACATTAAAGCAATAGTGCCTTGATACAGAGTATGAGCAAACTTTGTCCACCAGCCATGTAATACATTTTCCCTTTCTTTTTGTTTGTTTACCGAGTCTGATCTGGTTCAGTGTCTGATGATTGATCTCCAGATGTAATAATTTTAGCCAGTAAGAGCTGACTCATATGAAGTAATATTATGTCAGCATTTTAACCGCTTCAATTTTATGCCCTCTTAGGACTCGTATTTGCAAAGTATAATCATGCCTGGAAGGAGCAGAGGAGGTTTCTTGTCTCAAACTTGAGAGATTTCGGAATGGGAAAGAAATCCCTGGAATGGCGAATGATTGAGGAAGCTGGCCATCTGTGTTCTGCATTCCGTGCTGAGGGAGGTTGGTTAAACCTAGGAATGTGGGAAGTGGGAAATGTGCTTAATTCAAAATGTTTACATTCTTATTTATTTATTTAATAAAAAGCATACACTGTCTGATGGTTTAAAAAAACCCTTAAAACAATAACATGATCAATAAGAATAAATAATAATAATTGAAGACTTTAAAAAAGTTAATATTATGTTGCATGCCACCCCAATCTCTGAGCGGTGTGAGATTCCAGGGGTTCTGAGAGCTTACCCAGGCTTGTGTTTCCTTCAGGAATAAGGCACATGTCTTTATGATATATGGTTTATTTACGTATATGATATATGGTTTATTTACGTATATCTAGAGACGCGGGTGGCGCTGTGGGTAAAAGCCTCAGCGCCTAGGGCTTGCCGATCGAAAGGTTGGCGGTTTGAATGCCCGCGGCGGGGTGCGCTCCCGCTGCTCGGTCCCAGCGCCTGCCAACCTAGCAGTTCGAAAGCACCCCCGGGTGCAAGTAGATAAATAAGGACCGCTTACTAGTGGGAAGGTAAACGGCGTTCCGTGTGCGGCTCTGGCTCGCCAGAGCAGCGATGTCACGCTGGCCACGTGACCCGGAAGTGTCTCCGGACAGCGCTGGCCCCCGGCCTCTTGAGTGAGATGGGCGCACAACCCCAGAGTCTGTCAAGACTGGCCCGTACGGGCAGGGGTACCTTTACCTCTTTTATAACCTGAGCCTATGATGGATTGGCTCACAGCATTAACACCCCAAGAAGGTCTTGTTTCTCCCATAGCTGCAGCCTTGAAACCCAGCAGAAATCAGGCCTGGCTCTGACTCTCTGCCTTCCCAGCCTGCCCCTCTTGCACCCAGCTCCCAGCCCCCTGTCTTTCTAACTAGCAGACTGTTGAGAGAGGGAAGCCCACCCCTTTGGTTTCTGGTACCTAGCCACTTCCTTTGTTCCCTTAATGGCCCATACTTAGCAGGCTATTACTAGGGCTGGCCTGCTTATTCCAGCAATTGAATCCATGCTGGATCCAGGAATTAGATGGAGGATCAGGCATACAGTCTAACCCCCCCCCAACTCATAACAATAACAATATACTAAAAGCAGATTAAAACTCGCATGAACTTTCAAAATATCTGGGTGGGCTTGCCTAAACAAAAATGCTTTAGTAGGTGCTGAAGAGGGTGCAGTGCAGGTGCATGCCTAATATCAGTAGCTAAAATGTATTTCTCCCATCTCTGTCAAAGAACTCCACCAGTAAAAGTCCGGAGTGTTGTGCTTCAGACCTTAGGTTCGATTTCCAGAGAGTTTTGAATTTGGAACATTTATAAGTGTGCATTAAAGAGAGCAAAGCAAATGGAGCCATGGTGCTTAGGGCAGGGCAGGGGCGATGAATCATCAACCCACTTCTTTTTCTCTTTCAGACCACCCATTTGACCCTCAGTTTATTATAAACAATGCAGTTAGCAATGTGATCGCCTCTATGACTTTTGGCTATCGCTTTGACTACAAAGACCAGAAATTCCAGGAGCTGCTGCACTTATTTGAAGACTGCATTCAAGATGCATCGGGATTGTGTACTCAGGTGTGAAAAACTGCTGCTATTGTTCTTTAGTGACTGTATCTCTGTACCAGGTGTAATGGATTTTCTTTTCCATTCTGCATCAGCTCATTAATATGATACCTTGCTTGCTGCACATCCCACCACTGGAACAGATAGTCTCTAAACACCAGATGGGTATGTACAACTACATAGAAAACATTCTGAAGGTGCACGTGAAAACCTGGGATTCATCCTGCAGGAGGGACATCATTGATGCTTTTCTGGAAGAAATAGAAAAGGTAGGATGTTGGTATTTTGTAGTTCCAGCCCAAGGTACATACAATTCTATACAGTGGTACCTTGGTTTACAACCATAATCCATTCCAGAGGTCCGGTTGTAAACCAAAACAGGTGGTAACCCAAGGTGTGCTTTCGCCAATGGGGCCTCCCCCCCAAAATTGGTTGTAATCCCCCCAAAAAATTGGATGTAATCCTAAAAAAGGGACACAAACTTCCGGGTTTGACATGGTTGTACAGTGGTACCTTGGGTTAAGTACTTAATTCGTTCCGGAGGTCTGTTCTTAACCTGAAACTGTTCTTAACCTGAAGCACCACTTTAGCTAATGGGGCCTCCCACTGCTGCCGCGCCGCCGGAGCCCGATTTCTGTTCTTATCCTGAAGCAAAGTTCTTAACCTGAAGCACTATTTCTGGGTTAGCGGAGTGTGTAACCTGAAGCATATGTAACCTGAAGCGTATGTAACCCGAGGTACCACTGTCATCCAAAACGGTTGTAATCCAAAGCGGTTGCAAACCAAGGCTACCACTGTAATTGGTTCTAACTAGTAATTTAAAACGTGAGTTAAATCAGCAACTCACTGTTCAGTGCATCTCTCCATGGGCATAGCCGGGGGGGGCAGGGGGCAGCTGCCACCCCCAATTAATAAAATTCAATAAAAATACATAGCAAACTGAGGTTCTGCCCCCCTCTAACAAAAACCCTGGCTATGCCCATGCATCTCTGTGTGTGCCATACCTGATTTGTGGAGCAGTGGGGTTGCAGCCCTGACCCAGGAGAGGACCCAATACCTCTTGGGATCTCATGAGGTGTTATGGCTTGGTCTCTCCCACAAATGCGAGACAACTCTAGCTGTTTATTATTTCAAATTCATTGCTAAAACAACAAACTAGGACATAGCTCCTCTACTCATCGTCCTCCCCAGAAGATGGAGTTGCCCAGACTGAGCTCCTCCCCCTTCCCCAGCACAGAAGCCCCCACCTTCTTTTCCAGTATCTTTTGCACTGTCTAGATCCTACGAGATTTGGGAGAGAATGCTTCCAGCGTCTGACTCACTATTGGAGCTCTCACACAGCAGCCTGTCACTCTGGCCCTGTCTTTCGTCTCCCCTTTGTTCAGAGCTCAGATGACAGCTGCTCTCCCCCTCCTCTCTGCCTTCCGCTGTCAACTGTTCTCTCTCTATGCCTGTGTCTTCTTCTCCTGTAAGCATCTGAGCTTCGCTGACATGAGGCCTCAGAATCTCCTTGGAGAAAAAGTGGGATGTAAATGTAATAAATTGATAAATATGCCACCGCTCCAGGACCTCAGAGAGTGGCAGCACTGCTAAGAGCGCCTTCCTTGCCCAACTGGGCAGGTCTGTAACTGATATGACTCTATTACTGGAAAGTCCAGTCTCTTTGACACTTTCTGCATGCTATATAGGTGCCATAAGATTTATTTATTTTTTGAGATGCATATCGTTTGTCTTCTCAGAGGAAGAAAGATGTGAAGACAAGTTTCAATCATGACATCCTTCGTCTAATAATTACTGAACTTTTTGCTGCTGGCACTGAAACTGTTGCCACCACTCTGCGCTGGGGCCTGCTGTACATGATCCAAAATCCAGAAGTCCAGAGTAAGTACTACTGCAGCTGCTATATGCTAAAAAAAGAAGAAGAAGAAGAGTTTGGATTTGATATCCCGCCTTTCACTCCCCTTCAGGAGTCTCAAAGCGGCTAACATTCTCCTTTCCCTTCCTCCCCCACAATAAACACTCTGTGAGGTGAGTGGGGCTGAGAGACTTCAGAGAAGGGTGACTAGCCCAAGGTCACCCAGCAGCTGCATGTGGAGGAGCGGAGACGTGAACCCGGTTCCCCAGATTACAAGACTACTGCTCTTAACCACTACACCACACTGGCTCTAAAAAGAGAGATTTTAGTGCCAGTTTCTGAAAGAGCAGCTATATTAGGATGGGAATTTGAGTTTCGACAGAGATGTACAATATGCAAGAAGCCATTGGGCTTCTTGTTGTCACTGAATTAAGGGCACATCTGTAGCTGCTCTTAGTCTTTGGTAGCAAAGATGAAACTGGTATTCTAAGACAATTTGTTATGGCAAACTTTTTCATAGGGCACAATCATAGTCCAGTTCCTGTCCACAGAATGCTCCTCTTCCTCCTCTTCTAATTGGGCCTTCTTGTGTGCCAGTCTCTAGCCTGAGCTCTCCTTGAGATGGTCTCTTGCCTAGACAGGGTCTCCTGCTGGAACTCCAGCTCAGGTTTGAACCACCATCCAGCTGTGACCACTTGGAACAGAACATGTCCTTGTTCATAAAAGCATTTTAACAGGAAATAAGGTATTCTCCTATCTGCAGGTTGCTGATTCCACAGGAAAGATCAAGTGTAGCTCCCAGCAGCATGGGATCCGCACACACATTTATAGGTTTCCCATCAACAGCACAGAACATCTCCCCTTAAGGATATGCACTGGCTTTTTACATGCTAACTGAGCCAAATTCAAGTTTTTGTTATATAAGGCTCCAAATTGTTTGGGGACCAACTTACTTGGACTGCTTCCCCCCCCATAGTTGCTTGATTTTTATATTCAGCTAGAGAGGCACTATCAAAGGTAGCACATGATATTCACCTTGCTTCTACAAGTAATAAGCTGTTTTGTTTGTGCACCTAAGTTGTAGAATTCCTTGCCTATGCGAAGGAAGTACCATCAATACACCAAGTTTCAGACACCTGCTGAAGACCTTTCTGTTTGTACCTGTCTTTTCTGATGTATAGCTCAACCTATCAGTTACTGTGTGTCTGGATGATAAGTACTTTTATGCTGTTCTGTGGGTGCATTATGTTCACTGCCTATATAGTTTGCTTATTGTGTGGTATATATGTCTGTAAAATAAATAAATGGGAGAACAATGAACGTGTGCTTCCTTTCTAGGTAAAGTCCAAAAAGAAATTGATGATGTGATTGGCAAGAACAGGTCAGCCACCATGGGGGACCAGGCATCCATGCCTTACACTCATGCTGTGATAAATGAAATTCAGCGATTTGCTGATGTTTCTCCATTGATGCTGCCTCACATGGCGTACCGGGACACGACATTACAAGGCTTCTTCATCCCAAAGGTATAAGTTTTGCTAACAAAGTAAAGGTATTCTGAAGAGAAGCAGGCAGACTTTTTCTTTTTTGCATGGAGTTGAACCAAATTTAAACTGCTTTATTTATTCACTGATCCCAAACTTAAGATTTCTCAAATGCCTTGAATCTGCATGGGAAATGAACTCCTAAACTGCTTGGAAATATGCCCAGAAAGCAGGCGTCAAGCGGAAAACTGCTCAGACCTGTGTTTTCTAGGCACGGCACAAGCAGAAGGGCAGACGAGCCCATTGTCTCCAGAAGCCTAAGATATTTCAAAATAGAGACAGGATATAAGGAAAATACAGTGCTGTTGATTGTAATCCTTTTACCAAATCCTCTTTGTTTGGACACACTTAGGGTACCACGGTCATCTTCAACCTGTCATCTGTACTGAAGGATGAAACTGTGTGGGAGAAGCCTTATGAGTTTTACCCAGAGCATTTCCTTAATAAAAAGGGGGAATTTGTGAAACGAGAGGGCTTCCTGCCTTTCTCAGCAGGTAAATCCAGAGGACTAAAAGCTGGGATATTTACTGTTTCATAATCACACATTTTAATATTGCAAGTGTTTTTTTCATGGTCACATTATAAGGGCTTCTTCAGACACAGTCCTTTGGGGTGTGGACAGTGCCAGATTTACGTATAAGGTAAACAAGCTTAGGGCCCCACTCTCTTGGGGGCCCCCAAAAAATTTAAAGGGAAAAAACCTGGATGTACATTCTCCAAAATATAAGATAAAAAACAAATAAACATTGATAAAATACATATTTTGTCATGTGCAAATGGCTTTAGATACTTATTAGGTCCGTAAATTACCATATAGCATATATTCAACACAAAAAACAGCAACAATTCGTTGTTGACAAAGGACAGCTGGACATATAAGGGGCCCCATTACCTTTAGTAACTTAGGGCTTCATCAAACGTAAATCCAGCCCTGGGTGTGGAGAGAGAGATCTACCCATAAATCTTCGTTGTGGAGATACAAATGTTTGTGCTCACAATTATGCTCCCACTGAAGAGAAGTCACATTTGTGCAGCACTCAGAACAGCTATTTCCTTCTGGCAGTTTCCCCTTGTCCCATTCCTTTCCAAGGGGAAACCTGCTCTTTAGTGATAGATCGGAACAAATGTTGATCCAGGGAAAACCCAAGTTGCTGTTTGTTCGAATTGAGTGTTAAAGGGTGGTTTTGCCCAGGAGGAAGCAGCAGGACAAGAGGAAGTGTACATAAGCCTAAACCACAACCTCCTTCTTTAGTTTTCAGAGGGAGGATAGCCCCATTCAGCATGGGTTGAATCCCTATCCACTGATCTGCCTTTCAAATCTTTGTCTTTTCTGGATTAAGCTTCAATTTACGTGGCTCTTGGAGGAGTGCCAGCCCTCAATGCACCCCCCCCCCCCAGTTTGCCAGCCCTTGTTTTAAGACTTGGCTATAACAAAACAACAACAACAACAACTTATTACTTGTACCCCGCCCATTTGACTGGGCTGCCCCAGCCATCCTGAGTGGCTTTCAGCAGAATATTAAACAAAACAAAATATGACACATCAGATTGTGATAGATGGTTTATCCAATTATGGTGTGGAGAAATACAGGAGACAAATTTTTATCTCCTTCTCATAGAATAAAAATGCAAATCAGGCAAAAAAATTGATTGGCATTCAGGATAGACACAACAAAATAATTCACCACACAGTGCAATTCACTTCCTGAAGACATGGGGATGGCCTGGTCTGCGGTCGCTGCAGAATTAGGTCAGGAATCAGAATAAGGTGACAGAATTCTGTGGTAGAACAGATGGAATAATTTCAAAATTGTAAGTCACTTTTTATGAGACATTAGCATCACCATTGCTGTGACCCTGTCACTGCCTCTGAGACTTGATCTGAAATGCTCATAAAAGCAACTGATGGCAAAAGATAGGGAAAGGGCCAAAGTCCAGTGGCAGAGCCTCTGCTTTGCATGCAGAAGGTTCCAGGTTCAATCCTCAGCATCTCCAGGTGCTGGAGAGACCCCTGTCTGAAATTCTGGAGACCCAGTCAGTGCCGACAATACTGAACTAGATGGAGCAATACTGAACTCAGTATAGGGCAGCTTCCTGTGTTCTTGTTCCACTTCCCTCTCCCCAGTCCCCATACAGTTTGGGTGTCTTCAAAATGATTTTCTTCTTAACTGGTGGTTTTGCTCATTTGGCCCCTCACACCAGTGCCGTATGTCTTTCTTTTCTTCAAAGGGTGTTGTGCACACCACCAACCACCTGTGAATTAACCATCTCCAAAGCACCTGTCTGGGGCCTTTCTGTGTAGGGTCTTGCAGTCTGCATGCTCACTGGAACAGCCACTTACGAAATGACACTTAGCTTGATGTCCTCTTTCTTTTTCAGGTTTGCGTGTGTGTCCAGGAGAACAGCTAGCCAGGACAGAGCTCTTCCTCTTCCTCACCAGCCTCCTTCAGCATTTCACCTTCTGCTTCCCAGAGAACCAGTCTAAACCTCAACAAGAATCTCGCTTTAGCTTGACAGTAGCGCCGCCACCCTTGCAGATCCAGGCTATTCCAAGATAACTATAGATACCTGCAACACACTTGTGCTGCACTCAAACTTATCATGTGGTTACTGAAATCTCACAGGGTGACCCAGATAATCACTTTCTCTCCCAGTTCATTGGAATTTAAATCTCACTTTGAACAATGACTCTTTTTGTTCAGAATTTCTAAAAGCATGCACAGTGATACCTTGGGATGCGAACGGGATCCGTTCCAGAGCCCCGTTCGCATCCTGAATGGAACGTAAGACGCGATGGCATGTCTGCGCGTGTGCGGGTCGTGTTTTGCTTCCGCACATGCGTGTGACGTCATTTAGAGCATCTGCGCATGCGCGAGTGGCGGAACCTGGAAGTAATGTGCTCCATTACTTCCAGGTTGCCGTGGAGTGCAACCTGAAAGCGCTCAACCTGAAGCACATTCAACCCGAGGTATGACTGTATATGTGCCTGGTCCTTTTAGACCATGATGGGGCAAAGACATTTGAACGAGCTGGATTCAGAAATATATCTTTCCCTTATTATTTTCAATCAAGTGATTACATATCTTATTAAACTGATTTTGTTCATATTATCCAAACTGCTCTTCCATCATTTTGAACTATCTATATCAGGGCAGTCCAACCTCTCAGACCAAGTGAGCTGCAAGAGGACTTCACGCACTGCTTTGTTGCAGCGGAGACAGGGAGCGAGGCCAAAATTTGACACCCAATAGCTCTCACACTGCCTTCCCAAAGCCAGCTAAGTGAGGTGCTGGGCTTTGGGAAAGGTGTGACCATATCATTAATGTCCTTGCAAGCGAGGGAAGAATGGGGAGAGAACCAGCGCTAACTGGCTCTTCCTACCATTAGCTCTTCCCTTTGTGACCCCTGGCTCATCCTACCCCTGACTTTGCCTTCTGTTAGCTGCCCCTGCCTTCTGGCCCAGCAGAAACAATGGTCCCCAGAAGCCACTGCTATCAAATACTCAGACTAGAAGCAGAGACTAGTCAGAGTGGAGGTGTGGTAGAGTCTGAGTGTTTTGGTTGACATGCAATTAATAATTTAAGAAAATGATCTGCCATGGAATGTGGTGACCCTCTAATTCTACGCTTTGGGGCAAGGACAGTTTGCTAGGTGGAAAAGGGGGTGGAAGGCATTTCCCCTTGTAGTGCAAGAGCAAATAGTTGAATTTATGTAATCAGAAGTACGGCTGTACCTTGGAAGTCAAATGAAATCCGTTCTGGAAGTCCGTTTGACTTCTGAAATGTTCAGAAACCAAGGCGCGGCTTCCAAATGGTTTCCGATTGCACAAAAAACACACGTTCTAAAACCGGAACAGTCACTTCCAGTTTTCAAGCGTTTGGGAGCCGGAACGTTTGACTCCCAAGTATGACTGTATCTACAAAGCTGCCTTCTACGGGAGGGGAAAAACATCACTCAAGACAAAATGACACAAAGCAATAATTATATTTAAAAATAAATAAATACAATTAGTAAATCACAATGACTTTGAAGACTCCCTTCAGAGATCTCCATGGTGATGAATTTGCTGTCTTCCCCTGCCACTTCAGAGGGAAGGAGAGAGTTGTTCAAATCTGTAAAAATTCATTTCAAAATCATAGACTTCTGGGACATTGGGATGCATTCTGTTACTTGGTTATTTCGAGGATGGGGAACCTGTGAACTTCCACCTTACCCAGCCAGCATAGTCAGTGGTGATGAGAACCTTAGTATTGCAACCAGAGCTTTTTCTTCAGCTGGAACTCACTGGAACTCAGTTCCGGCCCCTCTCGGGTAGGTGCCATTCTAAGAGAACAAGGGAGGCGTTCATGGTGAGTTCTGCACCTCTTTTTCTAGAAAAATAGCAAATTGCAACAATGGAGGGCCACAAGAGATAACAGGATGCCTCTATTTAGAAGAAGCATTCCCTCCTGGGAAAGGGGAGGCCTCTTACTTTGTATAACCCTGCCTCCTTTGGGATGCCATTGGGGACTGAACCTGGGAGATTTCGCATGTAAGGCAGGAGCTCTATTGCTGAGCCACAGCCTGGCAGGATGGAAGGCATCTTCACAAACGGTTCTTGCTGCAACATAGGCACACCTCAGCTATGTTACGGCCAATAATTTCAATAGGTATACTCTGAGTAACAGTCAGGTGCAGATTCATAATTTTATTAAAACTAAACTTGTTTTTTAAAAATTCATTTCTGTTCAATTTGTTTACTGCCTTTCTACACTGCTATGCACAGGTCAGTTCTACAAGCCAAAGAAATGACAAAATCTACAACTAAGTTCCCACCCTAGACTAAGTCAATCCAATGCAAATATGTTATTGTCAGGGGCTCAGGAGCAGAGGCGCAGGGGAGAGAGGAAATAGAGAGCGAAGGGGAAGAATCTGAGGGCAGCAGAGGGCAGAATGACAGTGACCCGAGAGATTCCATGAGCCTCTCCAGTGAATCAGAAGATTCCCAGAAGGGGGCGCCGATGGCCAGGGCAAGGGGGGTCCCAGGGGGGACACACCAGAAGCAGGGGGCCAGCGGAGACTCCCAAAGCAGTAGCTGGAAATCAGGGCCAGCTTCCCCACCAGAGCGTAGAGAGAGGGAAGAGCCCCATAGGTCAGAGTCAGTGTCTCCTCCGGCAAGCAGGGAGGCGGAGTCAAGCCCAGCTGGCATACCCGAAGAGGGAAGCAGCGACAGGAGCAGTATAATGGTCAGAAGGAAGGTGGCAGGCTGGGCGCGCGCGCCAAGTTCAAATGTACAGGCGCGCGGGACAGCAGAAAGCACGGATTGGGAACCAGGTCCTAAAGCTCGCCGGAGGGAGGGGGAAGACTCAGGGGATTCAGCCTCAGAAGAGTCTAGGAAGGGCAAGACCTCGGCGGACAAGCGGACCCAGAGGAAGAGGGAGCAGAGGAAGAGGTGGAGCAAAGCTAGGGTCTTAAACTGGTGTCTGGGGGGAGGAGACTCAGACGGAGCTTCGACGGTCTAGGGTTTCAGACGTAGGGCTGCGCGCCACGGCTGTCAAACCAATAATGAACTTCAATAAAGACTTCTGTATATAAAGAGGAACTGGCGTTGGTCCTTTGTGAGCTGGGACCAGGGGCAGCTCTGACAGTTATAATGAAAACTATATATATAATTGTAAAAATGAATGACTTAAGTCAATTATAATATTTCATGGTAAAATCAACCTTCAGAATACCAGCAAAGAAATGCCAAATCACTCCCAACAATTGCAACAATTAATTAATTGATTGATTGCTGCCATTATTGTTTATAATCAATCAAAGTCACAATATGTAAAATATAGAAATATTGGGTATGTTCCTCCTCTTACGTCTGCCACCCCACCTACAATTCCTATACCTGCTTCAATTTACTACAATCATCTAATATTAGCTGGAAAAAACATGCTTATCCAGTTGATGTGTGTCTTTTTTAAGACGGGAGGGGGTGAGATTTTTGCTTTGAAATAGTGACATCTAGTGGAGCAGGATCACAAGGAGCAGGACCACATCCACACCATACATTATAAAGCACTTTATAAACAGCCACAGCTTCCTCTAAAGATGTTAAAGCTGTCAAGAGTTGCTAGAAGTCCCCCATTCTCCTCCTATAGCTACCATTCCCAGAGTTCCCTGTGAAGAGGGATAGATTATTAAACTATTCTGGGAATGCAGGAAAGCCAGAAAGCAAGGAGAATGAACCAGAGAAAGAAAATGGAAGTGAGGGTAGGAGAAGGAAGGCTTTCCTGAATAAATTGCCCCGGGGAGGAGAAGGCATTGGTGCCATGAGCAAGTGGGCAGGAAGCAGGAAGGGGGGGAGGATGTCACCCAGAGGCAAATCTGCCATCCCTCCCAGAGAAGGGGCCCAGACTCCAAGTTTTCATTTTTTAAAAAAAGTAAGTCTCTAGGCCTTTTGGAAAGAAAGTTATAAAACAAAATGTGCAGGCACATTTCTAAGCAATATCTCTGAGACAGGCCAGTCTGGCTGCTCCCGATTTTCAGTGTTTTTAGCTAATGAGTGAAGTTGGAGCTGTGATTGACGAATGAGTTGTTTGGACACCAGGATACTGGAATCCCTTAAGTCCAAAAGAGAAGCTATCTCTTCAACATTATTTTCCCAAAACACATTAAGTGCAAATAGATGTTAAAGAAACCTCTCACCCCCTGCTGTGGCAAATACAGAAAGAAAAAACTTTGCAAAGCAACTTAGGCATGTCTCCTGCTGTTCAGGAGCTAAAGACCAGGCACTCATCCAGATTGTTCTCCTGTGGGAGACACAACTACAAGCCCCTGGTTTAGGAAAAGCCAGAGGTGTGGCTGTCCTGATAAGCAAACTCTGCCCTCTGAGTGTTGAGGAAAGTTTGGCAGACCCAGCAGGCCGATACCTCTTTGTTCATGGTGTCATAGACAGCCATCCAATCACCACCACTGGTTTATAGGAACCCAACTCAGCACAACAAGACTTTATTTGGGAGACATTAACAGAATTAGACCATTTTAAGACGACAGATTATATTAGGAGACTTAAATTGCTGCAGTCGTGACTCGAAGGACTGAAGTAAGTATCAATATATGAACAAATTCTACAACCTCTGCCTGGAAGAAATATTAACTGAATGGGACCTGGTGGACACTTGGCAGGCACTGCATCCAGAAGGCAGGGAATCCTCATAAATCAATGTCACCCATAGACCTAATATTAATACCAAAAGGTGATCTTCATCAGGTGGTGAGTGCAGAAACTGGGTCTATAACAGTCTCTGATCATGCACCAGTCTCCATTAACTTAAACTTTGGTGCACTTCCCCCCAGAACCCAAAACTGGTACTTTGATCTTGGTCTTCTCTCTTGTGCAGCGTCCAAAGAATGTTTAGCTAAAGCTTTGGACCTTTACTTTAAAGAGAATGACTTGCATATGGAAATAAAACAAAATGAGAATATGAGGGAAGCCCAGGGGAGGGGGGGAATATGGAAAATTGTTAGAGAAATATTGTTAGAGGATGTTTACATGGAAAGACTAATAATATTTTTTTTTTTAAAAAAAGAGAATGACTTGCCAGACATAGGCGCCCCAATACTGTGGGAATGCAATTAAGGCTGTTCAAAGGGTTAACTGCATGTGTGAGGTGATCAGAAGGAAGAGAATGTATGAACAAGAGGTTAAAATCTCACTGCAGAAATTAAAAAGCTTGAGGTGATATACTCTGGGAGTGCAAGCCAAATATCTTATAACACATGATTGCATTTTCCATGGCTGGGTTTGTTTGTTTTTTGCTCTGACTCCACAACTTTAACAGTTGGTTGATCTTTGATTTTAATTTTTTATATGGTTTTATTGTATGGTGTTATGGTTGTAAACTGCGCTGATATTACTCATTGGTATGTTTATTAATACATAAAATGAATAAATGCTTCATGTTCCTGGCTTCTGTAGTTGCTTTTGAGGTTAATGGGTAAACTGTAAGATACACTAAGCTTAGAAATATTATCTAGGAATGGCACAAATCTGGAAAGGGGATGGACTAACAATTAGGGTAAATACTCTTTCTATCTTGGGACCTGGGACAGTTTTTGGGAAAGCAAAAGGTGAAATGCTGCAGAAGGCTGGTGAAGAAGAGGAAGAGCTCCATTTTGGACAGGGGTTCTCCAGGGCAGGCATGGCGACCTGTAGGAAAAGGAGACATAGTATTTTGTGCATGAGATCAGGAGGAAGGGGTGGATCGGACTGCACCTATAGGCTCCACTCTGGCCTGCATCTTGTGTATTTAAAACCTGGTCAGTATCCACCTCCCCACCTGGTCCCTCATCGGATCTCCGTCCCCCTCTCCCTCCCTCCCTCCTCTTTTCTAGGCTTTTTGGCTATGTTTGACCTTGCTTGCTATGGACAAATTGCTGGTCGCCATATTCAGAGCCGGGCAGGAATTTGTCCATCAGACTAACCTCATCGCAATACCTCTTCCCCCCTCCCTTTACACTGTAACAATAACTGATGAAATTGCTGCCTCTAGTCTAGCTTTGTTTTACTGTAACTTTGTCAAAGGTCTTGTTATTTACTCCACACAAAACTGCCTTACCACACTACCCACTACAGATAGCTGACTGGATCAATAAATAGGTACCAGAGGTTAAAGGGCTGTTCATCAGTAGGAACAAAGATCTCCATCTGGTGTCAACAGAGAGAACCAAACTGTGGGAGGCAGCAGTGGGGAGGGGCTGGTTCACTCGCCGCCCTTTGCTCTTGCAGTCCAGGCTACAGGGAGGCGCAAAATTTAGCTTCCTACGCACACTGGTCCTCGCAATTCTTTTAAAATTTAAAGAGTGAGCTGAGCCTACCTAGCTATTATTATCTCAGAGTCTCTGGATTTAATTAATTAGTCCCAAGTGGCCAAAAGATTAATATACTAATATTAACCCCTTGATTTGGATCAGTAGCAAATGAGCAACCAGTGCAGGTCTCTGGACAGAGGGGTTATGCGCTGTTAGGGTCTCTCTCCCATCAGG